TCCTTGTGCAAGGAGGCACTACGCCCAGCACCAGCTGGCATTTCATGCATTGCCTTCTCAACAAAGAGAAAGGAGTCTCTCTGCTCTAAGCTTCCACCCTCCGCAGCGTGCCCCGCACCCGGCCAGCGGTGCGCGAGCTGCACCATCGGCACTTTTGCAGCTTGTGGGTGGGGCGAGATTGCTGAAAATTGCGCACTCATACAATTAACATGGGCACGCATGAAGGTCACTTACGAGACTGAAGATGGAATATTACCATTATTTTCATTATCGCTAGTACAACCTAGTATGACTACTAAAACCATGGTATGATTCTTATTTGTACTCTTACAAAATAGATCAGTGAAAATAGTAATAGTAGTATAATTTGTTTAGTGAGGGCGGGGGTTGCAGGTTGCACGGAACTCTATGATGGCTGCTGTAGGTTCATGTCCCGTTCCGTGGACTTCTTCGAAGAGTTGGCACAGCACTCACACCTTGTTTTGGGGCTTCACGGTCAAGGGCGGGAGGGTTGGGGTGTATGATGTTAGGTTTGGGGGAGGGCCTCTGTGGCAAAATTGTGAGCTTTGGCGCGCCCAGGCTGCGTCTCACTTTGCCTGCCTCCAAAGCTAACGACCCTAAACCCTACTTGAGGGTCATTGGGAAAGGCTGGCTATATTTGGGCTGTAGTCAAAACTCCGCAAAGGGGAAAACGGGGGATTATATAGGGGAGCATTATAGGGCATTTTGGGGGATATACTGAGTTTAGACTGTGGCTCATATCTGGGCGTACGACATGGTTTTTTAGGATTGTGAGCCTGCTCATTACAGGCAGGAGTTTTTGAAAGCCATTCTCTCGGAATCCCTGCTGTGAACCCTAGAGTTCCATTGTTCTCCCAATATGGGAGTTTCCCAAAATCAGAGGTCCGTTTGTGGGGGAGGTCCCCATCATAATTTGGGGTCTTTCTTGGGGTCTCCCCACTTTGGGAAACTGCCATATATCCTTTGGGCCCCCCAAAATCCGCTTGTGAAGAATGGAATGCAGGGGTTCCGACACTAAAGTTCGAAATTGCTGAGGATGAGCAATCGTTGCTCTACAAGCACTATGCACAAACGTATGCTGCTGACGTTAGGGGTTGATGGGCCCTCTACCAAAGCCGCAAAGATGGATACGCAATACGGTAAACAGATACACAGCTATGTGCATACACGAGGAGATATCTGTATACATGCATATATGTCGGGAAGACTTATATACATATGTATATATAATGTGGTTTCCCCGCGCCATGAACTTCATTGGCTCGCCAGGACTCAGAAACGATATCGCTACCAAGCCCTCTCCAGGCAAGACACCCAACTTTCGCCGATGTCCGCGGTATACCGTACCCGTGGGAAAAAGCGCCTGCCCAAGCTGGAGCCCACAAACGAGCAGAAGCAATAATCAAGATGACAAAACCGTCATTGGGATCATGGCATGAAAGAAGAACAAGAGTTTTTCCCAAGCCACCATCAGCCTTCACAGCATCGGTTGTTGCTGAGGTGTGGCAATCCCTTTATGAGATTTTGGGCCGGGCTTTGGGTCGTAAATGGGCCCCTGCTTGCTTTCGAAGGGAGCTCGTGTTTTTTGAGCTTAAGTATGATAATGCGGGACCCGCTTTAGTATACAGGCCCCCCCAAACAATCAGAGTGGACGCAATTTAGATGTTACCTGTACACAATTTTAGGGCAGGTGGCCATTTTTGGTCTTAGCATATATTGCCTTGTTTGCACTAGTATTCGTGAAGCCAGGAAGCATCTATCCTCTAAAGCAAAACTAATCTAGTTGCGGAGCTTCAACAATTCCAACATCATTTCTGTTGCACCCTAAAACTTGAGAGCGCCTTTCATGAAACTTGAGTGCACAACTTGACATGAACTGAGCTACCCATGTAAAACGGGTGCGCAACAGGTTCATGGTTCATTTGCAGAGATCTGTGAGGTTAATCCTCTCCACGGTTTCCAAGCATTTCAAAACACAATTTTGGGCTCAGAGCCAGAGCAGCTCAACTAAAGAAATGATTCAAGGATGGAACAAAGTATGGCCTCGTTGCCAAGCCAAACGCCTGAATGGACTAGGGGGATCAGGTCAAAAAAGACCGACAATTGAGGGAAGAGGTACAAGACCCTTGAAAAGGTGCAGGGTTATAAATGACCGAAAATGTCCCACTGCGGCTGGAAGCCCAAGAATAGTAAGGCTACAACTGAACCTTGACGTCAAGCTACAAGGCATAACCTTCGGACAAAATTTCTGCATCCCAGTCGTTACAAAGCCGCCAGAAATATAGCGCTTGGGCGACTAAATCGCAGAACCCAAACACAAAAAAAGTGGCCTGTAGAATCGGGCCGCATACCTCGCAGTGACTGCAGATGTTGTCAAAATGCACAAGATCATCAGCTGCTGACATGCGCTGATCAAAGCTTGAGTGCCGGGGTTGGTACTTCAAGTAACGTGGTTTTTGGCCCGCGGCTTCAAAGAAGGTTCTCAACCGCTTCCGCTTGAATAAGCAGGGGCAGTCTTGAGACTAGATTGCTGCCAATCAGGACACTTTGTTAACCAGCTCTGCGACCGGGCAATGCCAGTTCAGCAACGCCACAAGTGCTTGACATGCCTTTTATACGTTCCTTTGGGCAAAATCCTACTGACGTACGCTGTGTTTTAAGTTGCTTTGGTGACGATTCCGACAATTCTGAAGCAAACACCCGTGGATGGATGTGTCCTCGGACCCGCCGAAGAACAGAAATGCTCCAAATAACAGCAATGTTGCTTGGTCATCTTTACCTGTTACCTCACAACTGTCCCTTATTCAACGCATACAGTATAGCGTGCCCATCTCAAATGCACAACTGTTCAAAGATCAAATCCAATTGCGGCGTGGGCACGGGTAGTTAAACTGGAAAGTCACAGAGGAGGCACACACATCACCCACGTTCATGGTCTCGTGGATCTGAGACGTCAGAGGATCTAAGGAGAGAATTGCCAAAAGTGCCAAGCCACCCAAAATTTCATGCGAAAAATTGATAAATGATCTCAACCGTCTGTATGCTTCTGTCCCTGCTCCATCTACGGCAAAGCTTGTGGAATGCATGACGTCGGTGTTCAACGCTTACTAAATTTCTGGGACAGGATGGCTTTCTTTGCAACGTATGACAAAATCACTTGAAGATATGCTGGGCCACGGCCATGTAATAGGGCACCTGAAGGAGTGCGGCGGAGGTAGGGGACGACTAAAACTATCAACCCCTTGGAGCAGCCTGGTGGGAACTGCCATCCCATTTTTACCCTTAGCGGAAAAAAGTCTAGTTACAAAGGTCTCTCTCAGGTGGCCAGGTGTACCATATGGATGCATATGGGGTAGGAAGAAAACCGCCAGCCTAATCATTGGTCCCGGTAGAGCGCTGTCATTTTCTTCCTAGTCGTCTACATGGTTTACATACGAGGTGAAGCTTCAAGTACTTGTTGACAAGTAACATGGGCCTGCTTGATGAAGAACCCGAACAACTTAACCCAATCCAGAGCAAAGCAAACTGCAATTGCCCAGCAGGTAACCGACGCACCCCGGGTGAAGAAGACCAATCAAGATGGTCTTAGATCATTCAAGTGCGAACTTAGGCTGGGCAGCACGAGGGCCAAAAGCAGCTTTGCGCAATCAAGTTTGTCCCTTTCATCATAGTGCCATCATCGCTTTTGCTACCCCAACTTCAATCACGAAGATGCACACTTGCCGAGGCTCGGACCCAAGAGACGCCCACTTGTCATCAAGGAGCCGAGATTTGTTTCTGGGAGTTCTACAAACAGGCAAAGGACGAGCTTGCCGTAGAAAAAACAGTTCAAACATGATAGGTGCTTCTTCTGTATCGTTTCACAGGGGCTTACCCATCCGTTTATAATTCCTATACTGGGGATTATGATGCATCCCCAATATGAAGCAGGCCCAAGCTGACAAATCTCAGCTGAGCCTCCCAGCCTTGACTGACCCCGTGACAAGATGCCTCCTGCAGTGCTGTTGCAAGCTAGACTTGGGACAGTCTAAAAAAATGAAGTCGATACTTAGCATGTTAGCCGAAAACCTGGATAATAGCCGCTAGCACCTCAACCCTGAACAACATTGAAAACCCAAATTCCAGGATCAAACTCAACTGCCGCAGCGCCACCATTCCAGGCGGGAAGAAGAGGCCTTCGTGGGTCAAGCATCGTGCAGTTGCTTGCTGTTTTTGGTTTGTAAGATTGAAGCTTTGGGGTGTACAGTTGTTGTAGCTAGTGCATGTGCAGGAACTGGTAAAGGTAAATAGACTATTTACCTCCATGCATGATGGGGATCCGCATATTGATATTGCTGTTGCCAATAGAAAAGCATTCTTGACAAGATTCGTCCTGCTCGACTTCAACCGTTCACGGTCCTGCTGTTGCTGCCGCTTCGGTTCGTATCGTTTCGGTTTCGAGGCTAGTTTGTGTAACTGGTATTGTGCAGAATCTGAATTTGAGGGGTTGGGTTCTCTGAGCTCGAGGTTTGCGCTAAACCTGTCAAGCTCCATAGGTCCTTGCGTGCCGTTCCAAACAGCAGCATCGGGGCTGAAATTCTGCAATCGCAAGGTCATGAAGTTTTCATCAGAAAGAGGGTATCAGGGCCCGTCACAGTTAGTCAGCTTCCGCTTATGAAGGGCCCCCGCCCGGTTCCGCGGGTGGATACCTAAGCTCTGCATAACTACGTATTTGAGGACCTGCCAAGCTGGATCCAAACACAGTTTAAGAAGCATTCCGGGAACACCCCTGGAAAGCAGCTTGCTAGCTGCTTACCCAGGCTCCCAAATGCGCCTTCTTAGTCACCCTGCATGGCGCAGACGATAATTCGTAGTTGTAGAGTGGTTCTACCAGCATTCAATAGGAAGGAATCTAAACACACCCATCACACCGTCTGCTGCACATAGCCTCAAAGCCTGGGGAGCAATCCGGAGAGCAAGGGTCACACTTCGTGGACATGTGAGGACTTCAGGTGGGTCCTGAGGCCTGGCCTTCTCCAGGTTCCAAGACTATTTCGAAAAGAGGCTGCCAACCTGAAGGTTCTCATGTCAGGGTGTTAAGTCCAGGACGGTCTTGCTGCAACGCTATCTGGCTCCAATAAGGTTCAAAGGACGACCCAAACTGGAGGCTACAGGCATGTGAGGTTTCATGTGGCATTTGAGAAGCTGTGGATCTCAATCGGGACGTTCTTCCCTGCTTGCCATGGTGTGACAAGATTGAGACTTGGACTGCACATTCCCTGCCACCTTTTGGTGATCCGAAACCAAATGAAACCACCGTTGCCTCGTCCAGATGGCTAATCGCTGAACCAAGGCTTAGGGCCGTGTGCTGGATCATAAAAAATGCCATTCCTTCTCCTGCGAAGATACAACGTGTGGTCACAAAAAAGTAGACTCTATTTAACACCTACTAGGCTTGTAACCACAAATCCTAGTGGCCTGCACACTACCCGCGGCTCGCTCATCATCCACACCAATGCCGACCAGGCAGCTCCATCTCAAACGTTGCCCGGGCTCGGCTCAATCACAAGTACAATGAATGCACGTTAATCTCGAAGGAATCCTGCACATATGCATCTACATGATACCCTGCATCTCAGAATCCTAAAGCAAGATTCAAGACACAAAGCCAAAGATAAGCCGGAGCCCTATATGTCCTATAAACCCTATAGAGCTGTAGATCCCTCGACCTTTACACCTGGGGACCACATGGACCACGGTCTCAATACAGTCAAGGCCCTGTCGTAGGGAATGATTTCCAATCCTACTGCGGCAGTCGGAGAATGGCCCCCCGTAATGTGCCCTATACGGTCTGTCTCTTACGTTCCCGGCCATAATGCAACATATTCACTCCTCCACTGCCCTCATAAGCACCGCCAAGAAATCGACTCTGCAATGTCAGAAGTAGATTACATCACCTAACCTTTCTGGCCCATGACCTTCGTCATTCTCGTAAGGCTGACCATCTGAATATATCCTTGTGCCGCGAGATTGGGTTTCCGACTCTAGCGTGTAGGGAGTGTAGGGCTTTGCCTCGACCCACAAGCGTTAAGTAGATATTACCCCAATAATGGAGAATCGAATGGAAAAGAAAATGGAAAATGAAATGGAAACTAGGGAATATGTAGGGGTTATTAGGGTTTATAAAGATTCAACCTTTGTGCACGGTTGGACCGCAGATGTCCCAGATACAGCTCGGAACAAATGCGCAAGCACACTATCTTTAGCAAGCGCTTATTACTGGTTGATTGCTTTGCGGATCCAGGCATACAAGAGCAAACCAGTGTGGTACTTCTAGACATAAGGAGCCCTGGAGAGTTTCAAGACATGTGAACACAACAAAGAATGCGAGGCTTTTCAAACAATACAGTTGTTCGATGGATGGTTGCTGAGACTATAAGACATGATGGCTGCCTGCCACAAAAAGTTGCAAGCTTCCACATTACCCCTGGCTTCCGACCCAAAAGGCTGCTAATGGCCTGGCCATAAGTACAGGAGCAGGCAATCTCACCAAATCCCAAGCCCACATTCTAGCCCGTCCCGTAGCCAAAAACATGGCATGGATTGGAGCTGGCATCTTACGGCATCCTAATAGGACGAAAAGGCAAGAGCTATAAACTCCATGCTAATTTGACGCCGCCACTGCAGGCAGATTGGGCAGCTAACGTCTCAAGACGTCTCAAGCGTAGGTGGACCACTTTTTTGACCTCTTTTGACAATTTGTCAAAACTCTTATCCGGCTGGTAACCCAGCTGTACACATCTCAGCAGTATCCCAAGTTGACGTTGATTATCTGACTTCGATGGTGCATGAGTCCTCCTAGACTGAACTCTGAACCCCAAGGAGTCTTCCTACGTACCACGCTCCAGGATGCCCCGATCTTCAAGAGAACTGTCCATTCAGAGCTGTGCTTCATGGCCAAGAATGGCGCATCACGTTGTCGAAGCGGCATCAACCGCCTCAGTCGCATGTTAAAAGCTTTGGGTAACGGTCAAAGGTCGCACCCCAACCTGGCTGCCTTGGTCTGTCTTTGGTAGTACAAAGTGCTGCATATTCTTCAATTGGGCTCCTTTCAGAGAGTGCAACGCGAATGCTTTCACGTGGAGCACGTGGGAATTGTCTTGCCAGCTCGCTTTGGGTTGAGGGTACCAAAGCCAGTTTCTCTCTCGCGAAGTTCCGTTCGCTCTGTGCCAAGACCCAAGTCGCGATAGCTTCCACATAAGCCGACGAGTGTTATACTGACCATGACGCGGTGACCGGGCGGTGCGGGCCTTTGATCCGCCACAGAGGATGTCATGCAAAGCACGAATACAAACCCGGGCACCAAGCTCCAAAACAGACTGGCCGGGCAACACCCCGAAGAGTTGACAATCGGTCGGCATTGGCGTCAGTTTGCGCGGATCGAATCGATGCACATGTTCGCAACACATGCACTACTGGACAGCCACCCCTGGTATTACCCTTACATCAAACCCTTGGAATATGCCTAAGCGCTTTATAGCCCCCCTGCAACAGTTTAGGACTTAGAATGACTTAGAGTTTCAGGGGTTCTAAGGTTCCAGTCGTGTGTTTTCGGAGCATGCCAAAATGCACTGTGTCATGATAAGCTTCATGATCCTCTTGCAACAGGTTAGTGCTTAGCGTTTTTCAGGGGCTCTAGGGTACAAGGCGTGCGTTTTCGGAGCATGCCAAAACGCACTGCGTCATGATAAGCTTCATGATCCCCTTGCAACAGTTTAGGACTTAGTGTTTTTCAGGGATTCTACGGTTCTAGGAGTACGTTTTCGGAGCATGCCAAAACACACCGCGCCGTTTCACTTTCAGCTTCATAAGCCCCCTCCCCCCATAAGCCCCCTCCCCCCCGCAACAGAGTTTGGGTCCTGAGGTTCAACAAGTGGGTTTTGGGAGCGTGCCAGAACACTCCGTATCATGATCAGTTCTCAGTAGGGGTCGATAGCAGTCCTAGGAAATCATTTCACAAATTTGGTAGGTTTGCGGCTTGAAGTGAGTTTTGGGAAGCCCTGAAGTGCCGTGTCAGGAAGTTCCCAACACGAATTCTACCTTTACTGCTTAGAGAGGTTTGCAAGAGCTTGGCCATTGTTTGCCCGGGAATCCGGCCAGGTAATTGCTTTTTGAAAGTCAACCAAAATGCATTTTGTACTTTGTCAATTGTGTGTGGCCTCACAATCACAAGACACTGCGCGGTCACGCAGCCTTCCAAAAGCCCGAACCCCAAAACCCAGAAAGCCCCCAATCCTATCAGCAGCCTCAAGCTCTATCCCTATCGGCTGTTAGCGCTTTTTAAGGAAACTTCGGTACTGAGCCTCCGCATTTGGGAAAAATGGCCAATTGGCGCAAGATTCTCTGCATCAACAGTTATAGGAGGCTAAGGCTTGGGGCTGATCATGTGGAGTTGTTGGCGGCGAGGTTTTTGTAGGACAGATGAGCGCAAGGGAACTGTGTCTGGAAGCGAAGTCCAATACTGGTCAGCAAATAAGAGCCCAGACTCTTCGGATTTCCATTCATTATAGACTTAATTACTTCATTACGCTCTGGACTCGGGGTGCTTCTCACATTTACTTGCTAGTTTCGAAAACAAAGATCCATGCTTTTGTATCGGGGTGGATATTGCAGAGGGTTCTAAGTTCTAACAACAAGACAGAACTTGCATGACCAAGCCACCATCGTTTCCGACCAGAAATCTGGACCGAAACGGTTGCCTGGACGTGGGAGTCCTCAGCCAGATCTACTGTGGAGAATTTGTGCAGTCGCACGAAGGATTTCGGGTCTTGAGTTAGGTGTCGAACAGGATGCTTCAGGTTGGCAATCCGCCCCTTAGCCATACACTTAAAAGGTGGCAATTTCGACCCAACTGGTCCCCTTTTCCCGATGACCAGTGGCAGTGCGAAGCATGAGTCATCTCTTTCCGGTGGGAAGCAAGACTCTGCCCACCTACCTGCTTGACAAGACAACGACATGATTGCTCAACCTGGATGCCTGTACATAACTCGTCAGGAGGTTTGGGACTTGTAGTTCCTGTCGAAAGCCCTGAATGCGTAAACATACGGTGAAACATCTGAGTCCCCAAGCCCTGATAAGCCGCAAACGTTCGGGCTTCAAGCGAGAATCTTAGAAGCTTCCAGGCTTTGCGCCTGGCGCATCCAACCCGACAGTCACCTCAAAAAACATCACAGACTTTTACCCCCGTAGCTTAGAAGTTAAAACATAATTTCAGATTCCTTGATCAGCTAGCATGGGCAGCTGATTTGGGATCTCTATCCAGCCATACGTTCTAGAAACACACACACACACACACGTTCCCATGGATTCTGAAGCTCTTGCATCTGGCTTGAGATTTCCCAACATCTTTTATCATCTTCTTGGAGCTACGCAGCAGCAGGGAATGGATCAACAGCAGGGACTGCCTGGAATGTGAGCATTCCTTACCCAAATTCCTTCGTGTACGGTGTCCACCAGACTGAAGGACAAGTTCTTCCCCAAATTCCCGAATGCGCGCAAGGGATCTATGGTGCCGGGTGACCATGTGGGCCTTGGCACCTGCCTTGCCGGTACCAAACCTTGGTCTTGGTCTTGTCTTGTCGTTGTTTGTAGGGGCAGAAGCACTGGTAGAGAAAATGGAAACTACTTCATGATTGGAGATTATATGGGGGCTAGAGTATAATTGGATCCCTTCCTGTATTTCCTACTACAATAAGGCTGTGAGTTGTCATGATGGGAATTCACAAAACCTTTATGTACTCCGCATGTACCTGCACATGACCCCTCTTCTGCTTTCAGAACCCTTTTATGAGCTTCCCCCATTGAAAACTCAACTCCTGAAATGACGTTCAGGCCCAAGCCCAGGCGTGATAACACCTTCAGGCGTAAGCTGGCGCAGTCGCTAGGAGCGCTAGGAGCCACAAGACTTTAGAGGACAAGTTATGTTCTGCTGGTGTGAGGGCGTCCCAGCCCTCCAGAGACGCAAGCGGCTTCCATTGGCCCGCAAATATGCACAACCCAACTTTTGTTGAGGGACGGCAAAGAGCACCTACAGGGAGCCTCTTGAATAAAAGAGCAACCAGGCTGGTAGCCAAACAAGGCCTCAATCTGTTGGGGTGCACAATGGATCCGTATTAATCCAAGGAAGCACCCCACGCCCACCCCCTCCGAAATTCCATACAAGATCAACACCTTGACCAATCATGTAGATCAACTCCCTGGAGTATAATGGAATCTAGGATCGGGATCCCGCAGCAGGAGGGGCCGCGTCATCAAAACAGTGCATATTGCAAGTAATATAATAGTACTGCAAAAAAAGGAGCCCTTATAATTACGTCCTAAACCTCAATGAACCAGAACACGCATAAAGCCTAAAGAACCAGACGCAAACGCAATGCATGCCCAAAATGCCAGAACTCTGGCGTGGCCCCGAAGTCCCGAGCCGTCCGCTCTGGGTGCATGAAATCTGGAACCTGGTTCAATCAGGATTCAGGGTTCATTTCGAGCTTCAGGCTTGAGGGTCGGGGTCTGGTCGAGCTTTGGTTTCGTTTGGCGTTTGGGGCTTGAGTTTGAGGTTTAGGACTTTCAGTAATGAATGAAGGAATGGGTTCCTGTAGTAGGCTCTGGCAACATGTTCGGAGGCCCTCATCATACGAAGCATCTTGCCGACTCGACTGTTTAGCGTTTCGGGCTTGAAAATTGTTAGGAGGGATGTAGCGTCAGATCTGAACCTGGATTTGGCACATGCAAGACATGCGGATGGTTTACAGACACGTGCCCTTTGGGTCCAGCCTAATAAGCAATGAAGGCTTGGATAGCTTTGAATCTCCATTGAGACTTGGCAAGCAGGATGATTCGGGGGCTGAAACGTCTCATCCGTGGGTCTACATCACGAAGGACGAAACAAGCGCCGAAGCAACATCTCTCATTGGCTGCAGCAAACCCACCTCGAATCCCATTTACATGGCTAGACTACATGTCAATGCGTGCTCTAGCGCCACGTGCGCAAGGCTGGGGATTGGGATAGGTGGCTCCTCAAAACACGGGAGCTTGTTGCTCAGCCCTTCAATCAGAAATCTGACAGACTGAGCCCTAACCTGCAGCCTACACCCCCTGTAATGCCAAGAGGGATACTATTTCTCAAAATGGTACCTACTACATTGACCGCATAATCGCCTTACTTACTATCTCGAGGTATCCCTGGGTTGCCTCGAGTACCCCTGTTTTGAGAAATGCCAAGAGTGTGACACATGAAGCCAGTTTCCATTTAGCTTTGCATGCTCTTTTCCTCTTCGTTAGTAAAGATTTAGGCCCCTAAACACAAAACCCTATTCTATGCTTGATCTATAGTACCACCCCTGGCCTTGAAGCTCTTGGCCACTCGTCTGAGCATTGCCTTTGTCCAGCCGGGCCTGTCTTCGAACTGCACGTCCTCTGTGGAGTTAAGGGTTGGAGTTTACGTTTAGGGCATGTCTACTCCACGGTTTCTAAAGCTTAGAAAATCTCACGTTGATACCGGTCGAAATACCAGCTGCTGCGGTACCTGATATTGGGAATTCTGCGCATCGGATTTTGGTAGGAAGCCCCCAGAAGTATAGATTCCATTTCTGTCTGTAAGCCACTGTAAGCACAAGCAACATGTCCGGGACTTGTAAGAACGGCCACTCTCAATCCCAGCTCATTGATGAACCCTCTTTCCAAGCCATCGCAAAACACCTGAAGCCGGCGACAACACACCGCAAGGCAGGTTACCAGCAGGTTTGGTTTTCAATTCCTTGTAGGTTGGATCCACGCTCAGCCGACTGGCATGTGAGACATGAGCGCATCGCTTTAAACGGCTTCTTTGTGAAGGCATATAAGAACATGTTCACCACGCGACGTGTAGGAACCCTGAAAGAAAACAGATATCACTTGACTTTGGGCATCCGCATTCTTGCCTTGATACTCGGGATACTGCTGAGACCATCGCCCCGGGCTGTCCTTGATTCCCCAGTAGAAGGGAGCAATCTGCGGAGCGGTGTCGTTCTTCGCACCTGGAGCATCGTGAGAGTCAGACAGGAGCGCCTATACTGTACGGCTGTTTGGCTGTGCCAGGGGACTTTTGCGGCGGCACATGAAGCCAACAAGCATCAACACATGGATACCCGGGCCTCATACAAGGCACTAGATTGAAGAAATGACAGCATCCACCGCTCAAAGCAGGGAAAGCAGAGCTCCTTCCAGAGATGCTTGCTCGGAACGACTCCCATACCAGGTTGGAGCAAGTTTCTTGGAAGGAAGTCGTTGCGTCTACGGCCAATGTCAAGAACGGACCCAAACTCAGCAAAAGTTGAGCTGACAAATTGTGTCACAGTCGCCCTACAAGGTACCAAGCTTGTGCCTGCCTTGTACTCTGCTCCATCAGTAATGGTACGTAGCCTTGACTTCTGGATAAGGATTGTTGGCTGATGCCGCAAGTCTGAGAATGCTCTTCAAAAAGCGTAAAGATAAACAAACAACAAAATCTAACCCCGAGACTCAAAAATCTTAAGTCATAAAGCCTAACAAACTAGAGCATCTCCTCGGTCCTAGGTGTTCAAGAGGAGCTGGAGGAACCAAACACATTGCAGGACATCACGGTGGCGAACCAGAAAAAGTTCTTTAACCCAAACCCGAAAATTTCCTGAGAGACCCCGCCGCTAGCAGTCTTGTCGCCCTGGCAATGTTGACGTCTTGTCTGGGTTTAGGGTCCAAGGTCTACAAATTGGCACAACCAGGATATGTTGTACCACAAAGTCGGGTCACTGTTGTCCAGAAGGCACGACAGAAAGGTTCTTTGGTTCCAATGTAGACTTCAGGACCCTCAGATGCACCTGTACGCTTCCGAATTAAACACATCACGTGCTTGCAGTTGGCTCACATTATGGGAAAGGTGCATTTAGGATGTAGCCCTTTAAGGTTTCAAGACTTCTGTCCACTCCTTTCTACATTCAGACATGCAACAGCCCCACGCACCACCTGAATCTTGGGATGGATGGCCCTACTTTGAAGCCGACCTTGCCAAGAATATCATGTGCTGGACTGCTCTCCGAAACCGTGCACCCAAAAGGTCAAACCTTTGACAAGCAGCCAGACTCTTTCTGTTCTTGGCCGTTGCCTTCAACGTTCGAGCTGTCCCCCTTTGCTCACATCAGGGCCCGAATAGTAAAAAGCCTTGTTGATGATGCTCTACAGCTGCGTCAGCAACCGGTCCGCAACGCCGCAGTGCTTTTTCTTGTGTAGCTTCGCTTAACTGCGCTCGTTTTTGTTCCACATTGCAGGTTTCGTGTTCTGTTCCATTCCATTGCTGGCCGTTACACTTCCGTTCCTTTCCTTTCCGGTGCCGTTCTGCCACGACATTTCCCCTTGCGGTTGAATTATTGGAATAATCTTCCTAATTTTCAGTCTACACTAAACTGTCCAGGTGATGCCTCATATTCGATCTCCTGCCTAGCCTACGCAGCTGAGATGTGTAGAACATTAATATATGCCACGATCTCTCATTGAACACCCTTATAAAATTTGGAGGCTCAGCTTCGAGCAAGGATGTGATCACTGGAAGAACAAATGCAGCATGCGCTCATCATGCTTTCTTCATGTGAACCCATGTCCTACAGTAGTGCCGCTGATTGCTCGGCTCCAAAGAAGCCTTTACAGTGGACAACGGTGGTTGGCTGAAGCACGTCCATGGCGACCTATGCAGGACTGCTGTGAAGACGTCTCGGCCCTAGAGCCTAGGATTTTACGACCTCTGCTTTGAGTACGGGCTTTATTGCAAAACCTTGCAACTACCTCAACCCTACTCCATTGACTCCCCACCATCCTCCTGCCAAAGCGCCAAGCATGGCTTTCGGTGATAGCATTCCGGTGATTCAACACTATCCAAATAATAGGCAGAAGGAGCCCCAGACAGCCTGCCAGTCGTCTCCCAGTTTTGCTTCTCGCGCACCACCAGCTGTGTACTGATGGTTCATAGCCTTGGCTGCAGATTGAGATAAGGGTTCAGGAGAAATTCAATCTCTCAAAATTCAGCGCGGGGCTTCTTAAGCTAGAGTCAGATCAAGGATGTTTGGGCAACTGGGGATCCTCCAAAGGGATTGAACATGGTTTTCTGTGGAGAGGCTGCCCGATGACCATAGCGAACCCCAAGGCGAGGGGTGGAGCTTGAGGTTGATGGGCCTGCTTACAGCACACTCTCGCTGAGCCCACCGGCTGTTTGGTTGGCAGTTGCGTGGCCTCTGGATTTTTGGGAGGTGCTGAAGGGCAAGCCCGTCAGGATATCTGGGGCTGTGGTCCCAAAACACCCCTCTGAGCTACTTCTTCCTCTCCGCACACGCTTAGGCATCTGTCAACTATAAAGTGCACCCAGAAAAGATCCCGTCAAGCCCCACAACCACACCGCCCTCTTGGATCCTGGCAGCTTCAACTTCCTGAAAGGTCACTCGTTGACGACCTATCTCTTGCCAATGCCCCTTCGGATTATTCTGGCTGAAAGATCTAACGCCGCAATCAACAGAATTGACCGTAAACCCTGCAAAAAGCCAAATAAGAAGTCCCCCATACCTCAAAGTTCACGTTCAGAGGACCCCTGATTGAAGCCCTTACGCAGCCTTACACCCCCCCTCGTCTGACCCGTCTGCAACACCACAAAGCATTCTTCTCTGCAGGAGTACTAGAGAGGTTTGGGATGATCAAAAAAGAATCCTCGTGCCCACAGCTGCACGCATGAATTGCTAGCAAGGACTCGGTATCATCCTGGACCGGTTTGGAAAAGAAGCTATAGCTGTCCCACCCACCATATTTCATATCCTCAGGGATCGCCCAGGGCTAAACCCGGCAATAGACCCTTCAGCCACAGGATTGCATGACAACCAGGTTCCCGGGCTGCTTTCTTGAACTCAGGGTCTGTCTGGAAGAAGTCACCTGAGTTTGGGCTGCAGATGCCAACGTCCTCGCAACCTCAAGGTGTAGTCTATAGGGTTCAAATGCCAAAATCTGGGCCATCCAGTCATCGCCCCGTTCCAAGCACTGGCGCGGAATGTCCGGATGTCATTACACCGTGTTCATCTACCCACCCCAAACCCTCAGGACTACCTGCCAGTTCATTCTCAGGCGGCCGACGGCAACACAAAAAACATCTACTCCTACTGATGCAGCAGCAACACCACCACCGCAACCGCCGCCAACGACACCACTACAGTCATGACCTCTGAACCCGAGGCCCTCAGACTCGCTACGACTCCGTTTCAGTTCTAGCAGGCCAAACGAAAACTTGCAACCACATCGCACAATAAACTGCTCACTCGCTGCCCTGAGGCATTTAAGTAAAAACGGCTACCGCGGGCGGAGGCTCTCATCATGCAACTCCGGCATGATCACTGCGTAACTCATTTTCATGACGTGTCAGGCAGAACGCTGCTTCAATGCTTCGTGCTACTGACGACAGAATCATACAGCAATGTTGCTAGCTAGGCGTCCGCGCAATCCCAATGCCGCAGTTCCCAGTCCGCACTGAGATCTGGAACCACGAAGATCTGATGAAGCAAGGATATCTGTCTTGAATAGGGGTCCGTGGGTTAATGCAGTACGATAATACACCTACATAAGCCCATTTTCCATTTGATGTTCCATGTTCTTTTCCATTTGATTCTCTGCCCAAACTCTCAACCTAAACCCTCAATAGCTGCATGGGGCCTGCCAGAAGGATTTTTCTGGAAACATGCCGTTACCAGTGGTCTTGAAAGATCGCTCTTCATCCATCGCAGACCGTTTCAGCATTCAGTATCAGCATAGTTAGAGGAACGCACTTTCCAACTAGACAGGCCTGAGCTATCAGGCCTGTGGTTGACAGCGAGGGTTTAGGGTGGAGGAGCATAATTGATGCAAGACTTGTTCTTGGCCCTTGAAGTGCGAGGCTGTCGAGGTTGTGTCTCACAGATGAAAAGAGGGCAGCCAGACAGCGGTCTACAGTGCACTACCGGGTCTGGAAAACGTGCCTCTGAGGCTGCAGGGCAGCATTCTGCCGATTCGAAGATAGCCGCCAACAACAAGGGCAGCAGAACTGAAAGGCGTCAACAAAATCTGAACTCGCTATGGTGAAGCCCTTGCGCAGGAAACCTTCAGAGGCACTGGTAAGAAGAGTGCAGAAGTGGTCATCGCAGGGCTTTCACAGCAAAAGCACTTCGACTACAGCATTTCGGGAACAAGCATGTTGGTGGTTTTCCCTGAACCACTATGAATGAATCACATGGTGGTGACACGGAACGGAGTTGGTAGCCCCTCTGAACTCCTACGCCAATACACCATGAACCTGCATCCGAAACCTAAGACCCTACTATTGAAGCTGCAAGAGCCAAAACCCATCAAGGCCAGAGTAGCTGGTACCTCTGTATTTGGCACATTTGTTTAAAATGTTTAAAATGCTTTCATCTCAAAGAGGCTGGGCCTTTCCATCCAAAATCAAATCGTTGAATTGTTGTCCTGGAGCTCTTGAAGGAGGATTCGCAATCAGGAGTTTAGGGCAGCTTTCAGTATTATGCGTTGAGGGCAGGGTGTATCTGAAATGCTTGCATTTGGGCCTGTAATTTGGAAAATGATGTCCCTAGGCCCTATATGCTTGAGG